GAACTCAATAAATATGTCTTGGAAAATTAGTAAGGGCATAATTGAAAAATATGTAATTAATGTAACATTGGAATTATAGGTGACATATAATATATATAAAGCAAAAAATATTGTAAAAAACGACGGATACTATGGAACAGATGAAGTAATTCAATCTAATATATTCAACTCCATTATATGTGAAATGTTGTTGGGATTATCATTCTAATTATGTGAAAAATGCAAAATAGTTAATTAACACATTAAGTGTAATTTGAAAATGAGTGTGAATCGCTTTTTCCCCCTTAACTATGTGATTATTAGCACTTTCATAGGGATTATTAGTAAAACACCTTCACTTAAATGGATAAATGAGGATGGATCCCACCTCTTTTTCAATATTAGTGAGACCCCATAATTTATTTAATTAAATAAATACTTAACAAAATTTATACTAATGTTCCTAATTTACCCCTTTTACCAGATAATATATTATTTCCTATCTTCACCCAAACCCTAAATTTCATTCTCTATAATTTCACGATGTGGAAGAAAACATGGCTAGGGCAGTGCAGGCGGCGGCGCCACCAAAACAAGGATGAACCGCTGTTTTTTCGATCTCCCCTTTTCCTTTATACGGTGAGTGCAGATTTGTTAGTGTTTTTTTTTTTTTTTTCCTTCAATTTTTGGAAGCATTTCTATAATCCTCGTCGGAAAAAATTGCCCCACCAGCATTGTAATTGAATATATCGACCCCGAGGAGGATAAAGAAACCTTGGGTTGCATCTTTAAATCGCGACCGTAGATATCGAACAAAAGCTTTGTTCGTTATATTCGGTGGCAACCAAAGGCGTTTGAATCGACTATGGGAGACCCTTCGTTTTTTTTTGGTAATGGTTAATCCCTCTCTACCTCCACCCTCGTCTCCATCGTCGGATCTGGTAACATCGCTCTGCTCCACCGCAACCATAATTTAAAAAAAAAATCGGAGATGTTTTTGTTGACGGGTATCTTTTGCGGCAATATAGTTGTTTTCGTTATTCTACTATTTTGTATAGTTGTTGATGGGTATTTTTGCAGCAATATAGTTTTTTTGTTTTTTTTTTTTTTGTTCTTTCGATTTTTGGAAGCATTCCTAAAATTCTCGTCGGAAGACCGCCTCCACCACCGCTGTAATGGAATAGATTGACCTCGAGGAGAAGGTATTGTTTGGGAGGCTGGTTTGTTGAAATTGTGTTCGTGTTACTCAAAAAGATATAGTTGTTTTCGTTACGGTTGTCGTTGGTTTCAATAATAGTCGTTTTTTTTTTGAATTTTGGTGTGTTTTTTTGCTTTTGCTTTTGT